TGAAAGGCAGACCGATTGCTGCAGCCGGGGGTTGCCTTTCTAAAAAGCCACAGGCTATCGGTGGGGAAGGTGGGAGGATATTCAGAAAATAAATACTCTGTGTGAGCACGGGGAAGACAAGTGTTCAAAGTCACAGAAATTATGGTAGAGGGCTAAGGAAGGAGAGAACAACTTCCTCGTTTTATTTGTAGGATTTGCTGTAGTATCAAGACTTGAAAATACCCTCCTTCTGCAAAACTGCTCGATACTTTCGCTGTGAGGAGAATAACCCCATCTCACCAGTGGCGTATACATGCCGATTTTGTTCCAGAAGTCAGGGTCCACCTGCACGTTTGGAAGGAGGAACGTGTTTTTCGCTTGCCCCAAGGTAATACTTTGCGCTTCCTGTGCAGGCGGTGAGTTCGTGCCCTGCCGAAACTCTTCGTTGGGGGAGAAAGGTGAGAAAGCTGCTGGGAAACAGCTCCTTTCTGTTTGATGCTCATGGTTCGCGCAGCAAGGGCATTTTGCTGGCAGTGTTTTTGGTGGATGAGCAAATAAGAATGATAGCTGAAGTGACTCGGGGGTTGCTGGACGACGTCATATTTACGTCATTAGTGCAGACCCGTCCGAGTCAGTGGTGACCTTGTGCCGCTGAAGGGCCCTTGAGGGACCAGAGGAGTGTGCTAGGTCCCAAACCGGTCAAGCTACGGACCCTGCTGTAGGAAAACCAGGCACGGGTGCTCTGCAGCGTACGGCCTGCGGATACCAACAGAACTGCGACACGTCATTTGCATCAGCTTCTAATTCAAAAAGTTTTCACTGTTTGGGTTTTTGGTTCTCTTGGGGCAGGGAAGGGGCTGAGCTAATTCTGTAGCTTTTTGTGTTTTACAGTAGACCTTGTGTGAAATACAAATCTGGCATGAGCTGCTTAAAAAATACCGTGGCAGGTTTTTAGACCACCTCTTGCTCAGGACAGAACTGCATAGGTATAAATTTCAGACCGTGGTGCCCTTGAATATCAAACCTGTGGCTATGTCTAACGTGTCTGCAGAAAGCCTTTGTTTATTCTCCTTTTGCTGCTTAGCTTCATTTACATTCAGTGGAATATCATCTTGCAGTGACACTTTACCTGACTAACAAATGCAAGCGGTATTTTTTTCCCCCCTATTTTTAAAATGCTGATTTGAAAGGATGGCAACTCAGTTTGCTGAGGTCAACCTTGTTCAGCGGAGTAGTTACACACAAGTCTGTCTGAAATGCTGGCAAAGGGATACCACGAATAGCTTACAAATCTTCTCCTTGAGGAATAAATTGTGTATCAAATGATCTGTTCCTGGTTTGTCCATCATTACGGCGTACGCGTGGAAAGGCCGTAGGTTATGTCCTTCGGAAGGCCGTAATTATATATGTCCTTCTGAATTATATAGTCGGAATCATCAGCGCAGTACAACAAGATGTTGCTGTCACGGTGTCGGCAGCCTGGGGAACAGCAAGCAGCACCCGTGGCCGTGGGCGAGAGGCTTTCAGGTGAAGACGTGCGCCTCTGACGTTTGTCTTCAGTTGGGCATTTTTACGGAGCTAAGATTGTTCTCAAAACCTTGAGTAAAAACACAACTGTTAATCAAAAGCTTAAAAATTAGCTTTCTGCACGTACAACCTTGCTTGAACGGTTTTGCTGCGCTGCTGCCGCCTCTCCCTGTTGATAGATGTGTTTGACCAACCTTAGAACAAGTATTTTATATCAGGCTTTACATCTGAAATGAGATTCCTTCCCTTAAAAGTTTGGCTTAGCTATTTGATCACTGTGGACAAAAATAGATAGCTTTTACAAAGACACTTAGACTTCTTACAGCAGCAGAATTGCTGAGAAGTGAGGAGAGGGACAGGATTGAGCCCGTGGCTAAAACGAGCTCTAATTGCGGCTGTTCAGTGCTGAGACTTTACCCTGAGTAACCGTCTGTCATGAGATGCTCTGTCCTTGTCCTTCTTTTCTGATTTTGCTGCTGGCGTTTCTCTAGGAGAATAATGTCAGCGTCGCAGGAGTCTGCCGCTGCAGAGGCAGATATGCTAGAGTTTAAAAACTTCATTTCTGGGAGAAAGTCTGTCTGTGGCCTGGGCTTACAGTGCAATGCCACGCAGCAAAGTGAAATGGAGGCCGTTACGTTTTAAGCAGTTCTCTCTTTTCTTTTTTTTTTTTTTTTTTTTTTTTTTTTTTTTTTTTTTTTTTTTTTTTTTTTTTTTTCCCCTTTTAAAGTTGCACGTGCAAGTGGAAGGAGAAGCTGACACGGGGCTCGTGCTACGGCGGGCCCGAAGCACGGCGGGAGCAGAGGGCTAGGCGTCCTCTGCCGCTGCGTGGGCGCGCGGCTCTCGTTCATCAGCGATTGCGCTCCTGTCGCTCTCTCCTCGCCTCATCTGCAGCGAACAGTCACGTTCTGGACCTTTTACCAGTGTTGCCCTTTGGCTTGTCTGCCTCTTTTAGGAATAGCGTGGCATTTGCAGTCACGCTGACATTATTCCAGATCAAAACTCTGTAATTAGTTCGTCCTCATCAACACACAACGTTACGCACAGGATGTGTTTCTGTGCCCTTCGATTTTTGCGCTGCGTCGCCTTGCCTCTCTCCCTTCTCCCACCATCCCCGTTCTGTTTAACCCGTGCTCCCTCTCCTCAGTAGCTGCTTTGTTCGGCATCGCGCAGGTAACCCACTTCCCGATTTGTTCATATTCATGTCTGTCCGTGGGCTTGTGCCCACTCCAGACTTAGCTGTACTCTAAGCATCTTCCATCCTGCTAGCCATCTGTCCTGAGAAACGCACGGTCCCAGGAACTGTCAAATTGCATCCCTCGGCAAGCAGTTGCTGACAGCAAGCAGAAAGGCTTCGTGTGCCGGTATCCGCGGAGGGTGTCCCGTGACGCCAGGTCATGCGCAAGAGCATTCCCAGGGCAGTTTGTTCTTCTTGCTGCCACGTTCTTGGGGTCTGGAGAGACCGTGGCTGTAAATCTGCTCTGCCCTCTGGTCCGCCGACGCTGAGGATCTGTCTCTGGCTGTGAGCAGGGACGGCGCTTTGGCGGGACGCCGGAGGGTGCTCCAAAGGTGTCCGTGGAAGATGGCAGCCTCGGGACTATTTCTGACACCTAAGAGTTGGCTTCAGCCATGAGCAAGGTGGTTTAGATCCATTCCAAAACTCTCTTTTAGTATTCTAGCATGGGGTACTCTGAGAGCTGACAGCCGATTGATCCAATATAGCTGCTTACTCTATTTGTTCAGTATTTGAATTAATGTTTTCCTCTTTTTTTTGCATTTTTATTGGACTGTTCAATTCCCTGGACTGTGAGGAAGGGGAATGTTGAATAATTACCTGCTCCATAATAAATTAGTGTGAAAAGGCAACTGGTGCCATGCATCAACTTAAACCGCTGTCTGGTAAAGTTGCATTAATGTGGATAAATAATGTATATCTTTGTGGAGGAAGTGCTTTGTCTTTCTAATGAACAGTTGGCCGATGGGAGAGGCCGAAAGACTGTATACCTTTGCTAGAAAGGTTTTGTTTCGCGTGTGCCTAGATTATTAAAGTGGATTTGTGATCCTCTAACTGCAACTAGGAAATACCTTATTTAGCGGAATGCGCTAAAGAATTTCAGAAGACCTTGTGAGAAATCAGCTCACAGGTGGCTTTGTGGTTTGGGGACCGGTGTCTCTTCCACCTCAGAAAGAGGGATCAGGATTTCCGTCTTTTAGTATTTACGTACGTTTTAAGGACCGATGCAAACTACGCAACTGCCATTCAACAGCCAGTAATTTAGTTGTTGCCTTGTAATAGGCAGCAAGCGTTTCACTCTGTGTTTTGGTTCAGAAATGGCTTGAAGGATAACCATGATAGCTGACTAACGAACGGCCAAACCGGGACAGCAGCGTCACTGGCATTTACCGGAAGATAAGTCACTCGATTACGACGTTTGTTGAAAGGCTAAAAATTGATGCTGTTTTGTTCTCAGAAAACCCAAGCCCAAATTATTTTGCCTGTTCTCGGTTTCCAGAGCAGGCGGTCGCTGAAAGCAGGGCTGCAGTGGCTGTCACCGGCGTCTCCTGGGTGCTTCTGGGGCCACTTGGTCCTGGACGGGAAAGGACTGGTGCGTAGGGGAACATCTGAAGCACTTCCAGTGTCCATATCTTTTACCGTAATCCTAAAATCCTGTCTGTTCCACAGGTTATAATATTATAATAATGTAAAGGGTGTAGCTATGGACAATCTAAACTGTCCCAGGCCACGCTTGGCATCTCTAATGGCAGAATAAAACTTTTCTGTGCCGGCTCTCAGCAGTTGGCATGCACAGGAGAACCAATTAAACAAAGGGCAGGCAGACAGGGAATTCAGCGAATGCAGCTTGTCCAGACTAGCCTGACATCTTCACGTGTACAGTAAAATACAAATTGTACTTGCATATTATATCAGTATGAGGCTGACCCAAAGCGACCTGCTGTGCGCGTTCTGGGATTTCTGACTTAGAGGAGTTTGAATTCCTCACCAGGATTGAGGTTCAGCCTGGTTGTACATAAATGCTTTTCGTTTTTTTTCAAATGCAACTTTTGTCTATGTTTTGTTTCTTCCTGTTCCCTTCCGTCTCCCTTTGTCACTTAGCAGAAGGAAGTTTAGTTGCAAGGAAAGGAGACGACTTCACTTCTATGCCATCTCAATACAGTATTTCTGTTCTAAGCCTGCAAAATGAAGCGTTAGAAAAACAGCTCAATGGGGGAAACATTTCCCTGGTTATTTTACGCACTCACGCTGTCACTGAACAGAGCATGTAATGTGTCTGTAAAACGAGCAAAAGCAGCCCCGTGTCCTGAGGCTCGTGCCAGCCTCGCTGCGAGAGGAGCCCGGCAGCCTGGAGCAGAGCTCTTCCACCTTCTCCTTCTGGAAGACGCGTTGTGGCCGTCAGACGGGCAGCAGAATCCTTGTCGGTGTGTGGATGGTGGCCGTACTGATGCCGATGTCTGTTGTTCTTATGTCTCCCTGCTAGCTAAAGACCTGGAGCGTCGATGAACTTCAGAGGAGGCTCTCGGCCCTGGACCCCATGATGGAGCAGGAGATCGAAGAAATCCGCCAGAAGTACCAGTCGAAGCGGCAGCCGATCCTCGACGCCATCGAAGCCAAGAAGCGGCGGCAGCAGAACTTCTGAGCCACCGGTGGAATCTTCTTCCATCCTCAAACAATCAGCTCCTTGCTTTTATGACTACTAAACAGATCCATTCCTATTGAAATACGCTAGCAAAATAGAGGGCGATACTTCTGCTCATTTATTTTTCCATAGCACCTTTGTGAACTCA